ACAAAAGTCTCTCTATGATTGGGGAGCATTTTTGTTCACACACACACACACACATTTGACATTTCATTCATCCACCATTTCGTTGCCCTTTCTTTTGACATTATTCCAAGGGAGAGTGACATTCCCCTTCACACACACCATACATACATTGAGGGATGATGTCTGGAGGTTAGGATATTATAATGGAAACGGCCAAGCAACTCCCCACCATTGCCGACAACTGCCACCACTCACCACCCATAATAATAAAATAACCCACCACCTAAAAGAGTAAAAATATCACCCTCTCAATCACTTCCACCCACCACCCAAAACAATACAAACTAATCCACCACTCACCATCGCCGCCAACCACCTTTATCCATGACTCAAAATAGTAAAAAACTGACTCACCACCTACCACCATAATCCACTACCACCACCACCCACACCCCACCACCACTACCCAAAACAGTAAAAAACTAGTCTACCACCATCCACCACCATCCACCACCATCGCCACGCCACTATACTACCACCCACCATCGTTGTCATCACCACCCATCACCATTGCCAACCACTACCACCAGCTAGTCAAAACAGTAAAAACTAGTAAACCACCCATCATTGTAGTCAACCACCACCACCCACTACCCAAAATAGTAAAAAATTAGTCAAACTAAAAAATAGTGAAAAATTAGTGAATTAAAACTAGTGAAAAAATATTGAACTCAAAAATAATAAAAAATTACTGATTTCAAAAATAGTAAAAAAATTATTGAACTCAAAAATAGTGAAAAATAGTGAACCCAAAAATAATAAAAATACTAACATCAAAATCAGTGAAAAATTATTGAACTAAAAAACATTTGATCACAACATAGTACTCCAAATTCAACCAAAACAACAAATGTAAAACAGTGAAATTTATCTAATTTTAATGTTTAGAATGGTACAAATTAAATTTATTTCTTTGTTTAGATCATTAAAATTGGGACTTTATTTACTAATTTACTTAGCGTTAAAATATAAAAATTTTAAACAGTGAATTTCATCTATTATCAATGTCTTCAACAGTAAAAAAATTATTTTACTGTTTCAGTCATTAAAATTGAGACTTAATTTTACCTAATTTAGCCAAAATCCCCTTTTTATGGGTTCTATTGAGATCTCTGTCTGGTTTTTCTTTTCTCCTTTGTAGATGTTTTTTCATCTATTATAGATGCATTCGCCAAAAGTTGTGATAGTTGTTCGGTATAATAACAATAATCTATTGATGTATATATAAAAAATGTTCAACCGAAATCTTAAGCTAGAGTCTTGTAATTTCCTTTCTATTCTACTATATTCAATTCAACTCTACGCACATGTTTTCAATAAATAAAACGTTGTGTTTCATGAAAGTTCTACAACACAGCTCTCTCTCTCTTTTTCTTTTTTTTTTGGGTAAGTAACAGAGTTCACTCTTTATTAGCATAGGAATGTGAAAAACATATAATAGTATAATTCAACGAGGAAGTGTTACTTTTCAGGAAAACATATAATACACAATTGACCAAGTGTTAACACACCTATGAGAATTTAGAATACGGTTATTTTTTGCTTTTCACCTTTAAAAAAATCCTCTCCATAAAAATAATTTTTTAATCTTCATATAACTGATGATACACAAAATAGACTTATGCACAATCGACAGTCGAGTGAGTGATGCAAGAGAATTAGTGAGAAAATTAATAAATCAATCAATGACAAAAAGATAAATATTTGATCAACACATAGATATATAGTAGTTCAGTCAGAGTGATCTACTTTACTCCAAAAGCTACAATGATGGTTGAAAAACCTTTATTAATGAAATAAAGTAAGAGAGAGCGCGCTTCGAGAGAAGTGTGGTAGCTATGAGAGTAATAGTTATGTGAGAGGTGTGTAAAGATGTCCCTATCAATGGAGAGAGTTTACAATTTATAAGTATGAAACCCTTAGGTGAGGCGGTGACGTAAGGGTAACATCACTAGTTTCTCGGGAAGGATAGTTATAAAAAGTAAGTACAATTAAATGAAGTCTTGATTTTTGTGAGTGGGTATCCCGATAATTACTCCTCACATGCTCTAATCTTTTTAAACTCCTTAAACTTTAGACCAGATCAAATTAACGAGCTGAACTTGCCTTTTAACTTATTTGAGTTTACTTGATTTATTAGGCGTTCTTCGATTCAATTTGTGCTCATCAATGACCATCTCTCTTTCTCCCTTCACTTTCTTCACCAACCATTCATTGTGCTCATTCAATTGTCTATTAAAAATTGGGTTTTCCACATTTTACACCACAAAAGATTTTAATATTTTCAGTTTACACTCTAAAATATAATTTTTCTCATATTACACCCTTATTGTTCTAAATTAGTTACAATGTGACCCCTCAAACCAACACAGTCTCTCTTCCCGTTAAATATATTTGCACATGCGAAGGACGTGGTCTCTCCATTGGCAAAAATGACTTTTCCCATCAACATCTCTCCAAAATTTTAATAGACGAGTGATGGCGTTCATTTGAGGAGCTACATTGCAATTAATTTAGAACAATGGGAGTGTAACGCAGTGTTATTAAAATTGGATCAGATCGATCGATTGAACCAGTTAGATCCTAAATCAGGATCTAGACCGGTTTGATTTTGTAGTTAAACCACATAAAGAAGCAAATCAACCGTTAAATCGGCTAATTTTTTACCAAACCAGTGAATCGGGCGGTTTGGAAAAACAGGAGAGTTTGAATATCAGGAGTTATATACAAAAAAAACAAATTCATGTTTTTTGGGTCATTTGCCCTAAATCAATCGTGTTCACAGCTCACAGGCCACCGACCCACCACTCAGACCTCATCTGTCAAGCAACGAGATTAGCACTCCGACGACCTCTCAAGCGAGGAAAAGAAGGCGAGAAGGCGAGAAGGCCAGGGACTCAGGGAGGCTGAACATCATCACTTCCTTTCGTTTCTGCACAAATCTCATAGAAGCTCTGTGATGATTCACCAGTTTCTATGCTCGTCGATGATGAAACAAGAGGACTGTTTGATGAAGTCGCTAAAGGAGGCCTACACTTCGAATACTCTGTCACAGACACACACACTGCCCACAGGAGCTTCGAATACAATGAGATTCTCTTTTTGAGAGACCGAGAGGGAGAGAGATGGAGAATCTATTACCGGTATATAGCCTTTTTTTTATTTAAATATCGATATATAACAGTTTTAAACTTATTTATTAATATCCGTCATTTTTTGAAAGCGAATTTGTTGAATTTGCTGACGCTGAGTCAACAAATTCACTTTTAAATAAAAAAGTTATATTTTTAATCATATTTGCCAAACTAACATTTTTATAAAAAGGGAGTTTTCAAATACGTTTTTTCATTGTCACCAAATTATATAAAATATTGTCTCAATCCTTTTTCTTCCACCTTCTCCGAGTCTACCTCCCACTTTTCTCTCTCTCTCTCTCTCACACACACACAACCCTATTCACCGACATTCAAAGAACTTTGTCTCTGTCCTAATTTCTAGATCTCAATTTGGTCATAAAGACACAAAAATCTAAACTGAAAAAGACCCAATCCTCTTCCTCTTCTCTTCTTCAATGGCATTCAATTTCCAACTTTCCTTTTCCACCTCCTAAAAACCCATCCATAGAACCGAGGGACCCTACTCCATGAAAAGCCTATCCATTTATGACTAATGAAAGACCCACCATTTCAAGCAAAGCCGGGCCTATTATGGTGGGTGGAATTAATGGTGATTTTCACCACCAGCAGCAACATCAACAGCACCATCAAAAGCATGAAATTTGGCCACCATCAAAAGCATCAACAGCAACATGAAGAATCGACTTGGTAAAAATTAGCCCCCCAATCCTCTTCCTCTTCTCTTTTTCAGTGGCATTCAATTTCCAACTTTCTTTTTCCTCCTCCTAAAAACCCTTCATTCGAAATTTCTGTAACACCACTGTGAATTCCACCTTTCGAAATTTGGTGACATTAAATTAGAAACTAAAGGCTATAAAGCTTCTAGAAGAGTACTTGTAGGAGGATGAGATCTGTTGGAGAGAAAGAAGGTGGAGCTATGTGAGATGTGAGAGTCTGTCAGCTATACTTGACTTTTTTAGCCTAAAAGCGTGGGTATCAAACACGCTTTTAAATAAAAGTCTGTTTAATTAGCCCATTACCAAAGCCAGTTAAACATAAAAACGTGTTTGGTAGTCACATTTTTTTTCTGAAAAATGTTAGTTCGACAAATATGATAACAATTATAATTTTTTTATTTAAAAGCAGATTTATTGATTTCGCTTTTTATATTTAAAAACGGATTTATTAACTCCGTTTTATAAGTGAAAGCGGTTTTAACAAATCCGTTTCCATAAGTTTAAAACTGTTGTACATGAGTGTTTAAGTTTAAAAAAATCTGTATATTGGTAATAGATTCGAGAGATGGATGTGCATTATATGTATTTTAAAATTTTAATTTGGACCTGTCTGATATTTGGCATAGGTGTTGTATGCATCGTAGACATATTTTATATTTTTCTGGTTAAATTATTATTTTTATAATTATTATATATATTTTTTTATTTTTTTATTATATGACTGATTTAACCAATTAACTCAATAGTAAAATCAATGAATTATTGACCTGGTTCTCTTCTAGGTCCGGTTCTGATAGTGCAATGTGAGAAAAATTATTTAGGGTATAAAGTGAGAATTTTATCATCTTTTTGAGTAGAAGATGTGGAAAGCCCTTAAAAATGCAACAACGTCCCCCTTCTCCCACTCTCAGTTTCTTTGCCAACCACTCATCCCAGTGATCCCACCTGTCGCTGGACCAAGCCTTTCCCGTTGATGCCCATTAAAATTTTGGGATTGGCTCAACCAATGTTTCCAATGGGTCTAACCCGTTTCCTGCAGTAAAAAAGTGTTTAGGCTTCAGTTCTCACCTAAGTTCGAGTGTGATGTGAGAGCGGAAGAGACAGAGAGATGGAAAATAGCCGTGAAACGGAAGGACTCCAAAACCCTTGCAATGGAGGACAAGAGGAGAGAGAAAAGGAAGATAACCCGAATTCAAGTTCGAAACCGAAGATAGTGGTGATAATGGGCCCAACTGGTTCTGGCAAATCAAAACTCGCCATCGACCTCGCTTCTCACTTCCCCATCGAAATCATCAACGCCGATTCCATGCAGGTATCAGGCATACCGTATATATATACATATCTCTGTGTGTATATTATGTGTAAGCTTACCAGATAATCACTTTCTCCATTATTGTTTTGTGGTTAGGTTTACCAAGGATTGGATGTTCTCACTAATAAAGTTCCTGCCCAAGACCAGAAAGGTTCTTCCTACCTTCTCAATCTATTCACATGTATGAGTCAATGTTATCTTTCTGATACGCATAAATTCTTTTGATTTTATGTTTGGGTTTGTTTACTTATAGGAGTGCCTCATCATCTTTTGGGTACAATCAGCCCAGACGTTGAGTTCACCGCCAAGGATTTTCGGGACTATGCGATTCCTGTGAGAATTTCTATTTATCTCTCAACAATTGCAAATTTTGTTTCATTTAAATTCTCCCTCTCTCTCTCAGGCAAAGATGGGGAAGGGGGAAGTAATGAAATTCAACTTGCCCCTACGTGCCCACACTATCATATAGCTACTTCTACTTGCCCTACTTAATCTCTATTACTTGATTTCTGCTGAAAGAAGGTGGTATTGTTTTGATGTATTTTAAAGCAAAAAATTGACAACATTGTTGCTTTTCGAGAATTCTAGTCTCCAGTACCCATTTGTTCACTATGCCTGCATGAGTTGGCTTCAATTTATAACTTAGCAATCTCACGTATATTGTGCATAAACTAATTACAAGACCTGAATCACTGGACACCATTTGCAATTGATTTATAGAAGTTCTTTTTAACAAGGTGATATAAATAACTTATAAATGGATTCGGGCTCATAATGATACATGCAGTCTTTTTTGGTAAGAGGGGATTTGGGTGTGGCCAATTTTCTTGATTTCCGAGTTGATATGATTTCTTTGAGAAGTTAATTAGTTTGCTTCTGATTCTCTAGTATAATATAGTTTCCAGTGTTTAACATAACTGTGGCTCTGTTGACATCACATCCTTGGACACCTACAAGGTCCTCAAGAGGACTCATTTGGACCTGCTGATCAACCTACAAGGTCCTCTTGTTATGCTGGGACTAGAATTATCTTTGGTGTGCTTATAGCTTGCCACCTCCTCTTTCTCCCTCATTCCCCTTTAGTCTCGCATCACATCCTTTCAAAGTAGCCATTGCTACATACGACTGAATATGCATAAATTTTTGGAAGTTCATTCTTAGCTAAACACAACTTTCTATAAATCTATTTACCAAAACATTAAAATTGATAGAGCAAATTAATTGTCCTCTCCCTTTTTCACAGTTTAAACTATCTACCTTTTTTTTATTAATTGTTTCTGATGCATTCCCTTGTAATCATATGGTTTTCTTTCCTGTTTATGACCTGCAAGCAAAACTATGTATTTGACAATTTGTCATAATAATGTATTGCCAAGTGTCTGTATGTTTATACCTTTCAAATATCTTTACTCAGCAATATTTTTTTCAGCTCATCAATGAAATATGGTCCCGCAATCGGCTGCCGGTCGTAGTTGGGGGAACAAATTACTATATCCAGGTAGGATGCTGCTTTGTTCTGTTATTTATGCTCATCCAGATCAATTTAGTTGCTGCATTTAATTATGCAGCCATATCATCTCTCCTACACCATTCTCTTTTTATATAGGAATTATATTTGGTTCGTACAACTGAATTTAGCACTAAGGTTTTTTTTGTTTAAAAGATGTGGATGTGAATGGCTTATCTTTTGTCAAATACAATTACGAATAGTAGTTTATGGGCCCAATCCATGGAATTATTCTTTCTCAATATCTCTTTGCAAGGTATTTTAAAAGCTGGTAATTTGCTGCTTTTTACTTTTTGAGGGTGTGAATCACATTCTCAAATCAGTTCTTAAATATATTGACCTACTGCTTCGATTTCTGGCGTTTGATGATAAGATATCTAGTGTTAGTCTCTTGGGATTGCAGCACTTTTTTCATGCTTATTCTTGTTTGCTAGGACATGAGGTTTAGAACTATCTCTAGCTGAGTTTTGTCAGGGGAATCCGCTGTGAAGGATAACATAAAGACTTCCAATATTTTCTTGCATGTTCTAGTCTTCAGCACTTGTCGCAATACTGATTTTATTCATGTTGCCATTTTCTTGGGTTTTTCCGCAATCCTGTAATACCAACTTTGAACTGGAGCTTATTCTAAAACACTGTTAATCTAGCATGAGCCAGAGTTTTGTTCTTCAGAAGATCTTGTTCATTGTTCTGCATTTTTTGGCCATAATTGTGTTCTTCATTTGTCTGTTTATTGTACTCAGGCTCTTGTGAGTCAATTCCTTCTTGATGACTCGGTAGAAGATGTGGATGAAAGCTGCTTAAGTGATCAACCTGGTAAACAATTATTAGTCGCTTTAGGAGTTTGGATTGACAATATGTAAGGGCATATAGATATTGGGGAGTGTGTCTCTGTACATATTTTTAAGTGTTATTTAATATACCCTTACCGTTCACAGGGAATAAACTATCAGATTCTGAACTGGAAGTTGAGGGAAAGAATTTTAGTTATAATTTCGATTGCCTTAAAGACCTTGATCCAGTTGCAGCTAATAGAATTCATCCAAATGATCATAGAAAGGTAATTATCATCTAGCTAACTAGTGGTTCTGCTTTGACCATATAAACAAGAAGGCTTGTACTATGTAAATTTGATACTGAAGCACAAATGTGTGGAACTTTTTTGGTGCTTATGCCTGCACTAGGGTACATTCAGTATGCATAATGATTCTAATGATCCTACTCCTGTGAGGACCAGTGGTTGGGGAAATGTTATTGAATATTGATTCTTTGTAGGGGTGCAACTTGGGTTGGGCAACCCGAGCCCAACCTGAAAAAATTAGGGCTTGGGCAAAGGTTTTTAATACTTGGGTTGGACTTGGGTCAAAAAACTCTAACCCGAATTTAATTTGGGTTGGGCTCAGGTTACGGCCTCGTGAACCTGAGTTCAACCTGAACCCGACAAATTAAAAAAAAAAATTATATATATATATATATATATATATATATATATATATATATATAAAGCATTTGCTCTAGTTTTTCATTTTTGTTCTATCGTTCTCAGTCTCTCTCGTTCTCTCAGCCTCTCTCGTTAAAAACTTGGTTGAAGTTATTGGTTGTTAATTTAGGTGAATATTATGTAATTATCATCTAGCTAACTAGTGGTTTCTGCTTTGACCATATAAACAAGAAGGCTTGTACTATGTAAATTTGATACTGAAGCACAAATGTGTGGAACTTTTTTGGTGCTTATGCCTGCACTAGGGTACATTCAGTATGCATAATGATTCTAATGATCCTACTCCTTTAAGGACCAGTGGTTGGGGAAATGTTATTGAATATTGATTCTTTGTAGGGGTGCAACTTGGGTTGGGTAACCCGAGCCCAACTTGAAAAAAATTAGAGCTTGGGCAAGGGTTTTTAATACTTAGGTTGAGTTTGGGTCAAAAAACTCTAACCCAAATTTAATTTGGGTTGGGCTCGGGTTACGGCCCTGTGAACCTGAGTTCAACTCGAACCCGACAAATTAAAAAAAAAATTATATATATATTATAAAGCATTTGTACTAGTTTTTCATTTTTGTTCTATTATTCTCTTTGTCTCTCTCGTTCTCTTAGCCTCTCTTGTTAAAAACTTGGTTGAAGTTATTGGTTGTTAATTTAGGTTAATATTATGTAATATATGTATTAGGTTTAGAATAACAAGCCTATTTTGGGCTTTATCCGAATTAAACTCGTAGAGTAACCCGAAATCAGCCTGAAATCATCAAACCCTAATTCATCCCGAGTCCGCCCAAATTAAACACGGGCAGTGCTCGGGTTGAGTTCCCCAACCCGAGGTAGGGTTAGGGTTAGGGTTAGAGTTGAAGATTATATACCTAGGGTTGGGCTAGGGTTGATTGTTCAACCCGCCCAAGTTGCACCCCTAATTCTATGTCATTCTTTCTGGCATACTCTGGCTGTGTTGTCTATTTTGCTTAGTGCTATCAATTATGGGGCATGGCCTAGGGTTTATGTAATAACTGGAGAATTCTAATTTGGCCAGGATTCTGATGACTTAGTGTTTTGGTAGAGTAGGGTGATGATCCAGTTTCAGTGTATCTAGGCTATATACATTGCATGTTTACGTGTTTGAGATTGGCAATTAACAGCGGATGGGCTGACCCTTAGCTCAATATTTTTCTTCAAGTAAATGGTGGAGTTCCTGGATCGAATAGGGCTAAGGATAGTTTGTTTTTATTTTATTGAGCTTTATGAGTTCATTTTAATGATATTTCATATGCTAAAAAACTGCTTTTCCACTGCTGATTGTTGGAAATGTCTTCAGGTTAATTTTCCATGTTTCGTAGGGTATTTTAGGAAGTTCTTCTGTAGTTTTTGAGAGAGGTAATAAATTGACGAGCTTTGTATTTGTGGAGTTCCTGGATCAAATAGGGCTAAGGGTAGTTTGTTTTTATTTTATTGAGCTTTATGAGTTCATTTTAATGATATTTCATATGCTAAAAAACTGCTTTTCCACTGCTGATTGTTGGAAATGTCTTCAGGTTCATTTTCCATGTATAGTAGGGTATTTTAGGAAGTTCTTTTGTAGTTTTTGAGAGAGGTAATAAATTGACAAGTTTCGTATTTGAATTCAATTTTTGAGTGGTTTTAAGGATTTTCTTCAGAGCAAACTGCTAGTGAGGATTTCTCTTGCTGTTTTATTATTATTACTTGGTTTATGATGCTTCAATATCCTTGTTTAAATTTCCTGTGACTGGTGTTGCTGTGTTTCTGTATTTGTTGCCTATGGCAGTACCATTGCGATTTTGTATTGTTAACATATTCAGTGTCAAGATCACTTTGTTTGGCATAGAATTTTGCAAAAATAAAGACTGAATAGTGAATACTATTTGAGATTGTGTAGTTCTTCATTCAGTAGGAATATGAAAGCATTTGTGCCACATATGTTTGTCATGATTGGTTATCCTAATGGCATAATTTGGATGACCCCTTAGTTGGTCCGAACTTGTGCAGATCAAGCAATACCTTTGTATGTATGCTCGCTCCGGTGTTCTTCCAAGTAAACTTCTTCAGGAGACATCCATGCAGGTTTGTACTGCTGTCACAGTTGCCTACATGGTTGTAAGTGGCTAATGTCAGCAGTATTAGGCACCTTCTTTGTAAAAAGAGGTTTGGTTGTGGGACACTTTTATCAGGAGCAACAATGATATAGTTGTTCTGCCTGCCTATCTTTTATTGAAGTTGCTTTTTAACTACTAAAGAAGCATTAAATGCAAAAATTTGAATTATGAGATGCTTATTGGTTACTGGAAAAGAGTTGGTCAAAGTTAGAAAGCTCAATTTGCATTACTCTTTGCAAAAAAAGAAAAGGAAAAGGGAAAACGAAAATATTTTGGTATTTTAACTTTGACCTATTTTCCTACTGGGGAAGATGGAACAGTATAGATGGAATCTGTAATTGCCAGGATGAAACCAATTTATTTGAGCACATGAGATAATGCCAATCTGACCTGTTTGCTCTCGAATAATCTCCTAATATCGCATGTGACAGGGCAGAACTGGGGTAATGCTGATAGTTTCAGATACATTTGCTGTTTTATATGCGTGGATGCATCACTCCCTGCATTGGATCGATATGTGGAGCAAAGAGTAGATCACATGGTTAATGCTGGTTTGCTTAATGAAGTCTATGACATCTACAACTTGAATGCAAACTATACTCGAGGTTTACGGCAGGCTATTGGTGTCCGAGAATTTGAGGATTTTCTGAGAGTTTACACTTGTGGTGCGAACAGTATAGATGGCTACTGTTTTCAGATGTCATCAAATGACAACTGTAAGATGTTGAAAGGAAATGTGTGGGAATTCCTGAATGCCTCCAAGGAGAACCAACAAAATCTTTTATTAAATGATGCCATTGACAAAGTAAAAGTGAACACTCGAAGACTTGTTCGTCGTCAAGTGAGCAATTTCTTTTTTTTTTTTTTTTTTTGGGATTTGTTTATTCGTTTGCATTACTTTTCTCCTTATCACACTGCAGCTAGTGGCAAGCATGCTTGATTTCTCATTAAATTGCTCATAGAACCTATGGGCTTGATTGAATCCTTCTTTTGTTTCGGTATGATGCTTCATGAGTAAGGAGCAAGAGAACCAAGTGGGCTTTGGTTTGGTATTTATTTAGTGATCAGTTCGCTAGTTTCTTTGATCTCACTTGGTGTTCCTTTCCATTTGCTTCCAATAGTTCAACCTATCCAGAAAAATTATCAGAACTACTTGCTTTGGAAAATTTCTCTGGATTTTTAGTTTGCCTCTCCCTTTTCTTTGTTGGATCATATTTCATCCTATATTTTATATTGAGAAAAGTAGTGGTTGCTTGACTTTGTGAGCAATTGGCTAATCATTCATGAAACTTACAAATTCTGCCCATACTTTTGAAATCTACTTTTACTGAGTTAATGTGCTGTCTCTCCCTTGATATTCAGTTTTTCTGAAGTTGTCTTTCAAATAGTGTAAAGTGTTTCTGTGAAACTGTTGTTCCCCCATTTTCTCTTCTTATTCATGTTTTTCGAAAAGCTAGATGAATTACTTTGGTAAAAGCAGAAAAGATTAATGTGTTCCTAAATAAATTCTCACCAAGTTAGTCGGTTATTTCTATAGATCCATGTCAGAGTGTGGTTTGCCAACCTTCTTGTTTTGATTATATCTAAAAAAATTTGTTGCTTTTCAGTAAGAGGAGGTATAATCTTCTTCAAACATTGAACGTTTTTTGAATAACCAAACCAAACTATGCCTTATGAGTCCGTCTTCGTTATTCATTTCGATCATGCGCTATACCCTCGTTTAAGTTAAATATTTTTATATCTTTTCTTATTATTTTGTTCAATGTTAATTTAGGTCTATCATTAGTTCCCTACTTCTAGAACTATTAAGAGATACTCTATCACTTTTTTCGAACCGGTGCCTCTATCGGCCTTCGTTGAACTGATCAAATCATCTTAATCTATTCTCTTTTAACTTATCTTCAATTGAAGCTACTTCTACCATTTCTCTAATACGGTCATTTCGTATTCTATCCTTTCTAGTTTTTCCACACATCCACAATGTTATTGTTATTTCCGTTACACTAATTTTGTCACTATGTTGTTTCCTAGTCGCCTAACATTCCGTCTCATACAATATTGGTGTCCTGAACGTTTTTTGAATGTTTAGATAAATGTGTTTCCAGTATTGAATTAAACATCATGGAATGAGCATTGAGACTTTGTTGCTGTATATTAATTTGATGCTTTATTGCTGATAACCCTGTTGTTTCCCAGAAGAGGAGGCTTAGTAGATTACAAACGTTGTTTGGCTGGGACATAAATAGTGTTGATTCCACGGATTCCTTAGCAGGCATGTCTTTCAAAGTGCTTACAAGTTTTCATAGTCATCATGATTTTCTTGTTTCATGAGATGATATGTTCCAGCCTCCAGGTGTTAGACTGAATCAGATTGAACATTCAATACGCAGGTACAAGTAATGATTTATGGGCAGCACATGTTGTTGAGCCCTCCGTGAGAATAATCAAGTCATTCCTTGATAAGGATGCCAGTGCAGCACTTGACTCCGTGGCCAGAAAAGGCACCCAAGCATTGAAATTGATCCAAAGGGACCTGTGGACTCAATATGTGTGCAAGGTTAGTGATAGTTGTGGTACTCTCTCTCTGGTGTTTGTATGGGTGCCCTTGAGTGTGCATTTCATGCTTTTAATTCATATGCATTGATTGGAATATTGATGGGTCTACGACTCTTTTCACTGGTAGGCATGCGGGGACAGGGTACTCAGAGGGGCGCACGAGTGGGAACAACATAGACAGGGCCGTGGCCACCGCAAACGCATTTCTCGGCTTAGGAAATTGGAAGTTTCTGCTTTGTAGGGTAGCATTAGCAACATCATTCAGGCTCTCACAGAGATCTCTACAAAGGATTAGCAGAAAGCTCTTCCCACTATTTTTTTTCTTCCTCCTCTTTAAAAAAATTAATAATTCCAACTTTCTTATCTATGAGAACGATTAATAGCCTTGACCAAATTCAAGTGGCCCCTGTTAGGGCTGCCAAATTGGGGAATGGGAAATGACGTGTGCAAGGATGTCAATATATATGATTAATTCAATTTTAACATGATAAACTCTTTTTTACATATTTATAGGAATGCATATACATATAATTTTTTTTTAGTTTTTCAACTTTTTTTAATCAAGCGAGTGCACGATACAGAATTCGGGTTCCCTAATTCCTGGATCTGCCTTTCTGTTGTTTGCATTTATAATACAAATGGTCAGCCCTCTTGTATGGTATCTTGGGGCTGAATGAGTTGTTTTCCATGTGCTGGAAACATTATAGAAACCATAAAGAAAAGAAAACTCATGCTCTTAATTTTTTTTTTTTTTGGTTTTATAAGCTGCATATTGGAAACCTGATCATTTATGATTGTTGAAGAAAGAACAGGTACATGAAAAAGGTGGTCTCTTTTTGGTAGGGGTTATTGGTAATGTATGACCCATCTTGGTTGGGACCCAGTCCTTAATTCTTTAACTTTCCCAAAAAAAAAAGTCCTTAATTGTTTAGTGAAAGAAACAAAGTTGCCCTCATAATCTTTATCCTCATTAATTATCATTAAAAACAGCAAACTATGCTGTTAGTTAAAAGGCCAACGATTCAATAAGTTTTTGCATAAAATTTATTTTTTTCCCCAAAAATGACTCCTAAAAGCTCTCTGTTATCTCATGGATAGGCACTTTTTCTTCTCTACCAACTCTTGCTCATTTGTACAAAACGTCTCTCTCTCTCTCTCTCACACACACACACACACTTGCAGGAACTTGGATGAGCAACAATGCTGTGGTCGTGTTTTCTATTAAATGGGATTGTAATACTTTATGTCTATTAACAAAATAAGACATGAAAATAGGCTACGCTACCATTGATCAGGACAATTTTTTCAAAACAACTTTTGTTGGATTTGTCAACAACTCAGACAAGCAGATCTTTAAAGAAAATTCAAGCAAATCTCCAAAAGCTAAATAAACCAAATATGTCGGTCATATAATTTTACGGTATATACCCAAAAGCCCAGCAACCCAAAGTTGGCATCACCCATTGAAATTTCTCAAACACCCAAAATTAACATACCAAACTTACAACATATATATTTTCCTGTTTTTTTTTTAACAAAAGAGGAGCCGCACCCGACTATTAGACTAACATTCAATGAAGTTCACCATTAATCCAACGACCCCAATATACAAAATTCTCAAGTTAGTTACAAATAAGATTATTGCTATTGACCAAACTACTTTGACAAATTAGTTCAAAACGAAGATTGAACAGTAAAAATAACACCATGGTGTTTTGTAAACCCAACTGGGGATGTTACTAAACACGCCCTGATCAGCTTAGCCAAACCAATTTTCGGATATACGTCTGCATCAGATTGAATCATAATTGTTTTAGGAGTGTGATGTTAAAATTGTCAGCAAGTAAGTTTACACCACAGCCGAGTTTATTCGTGCAGCCACAATTTTCATATTTTCCTACCAAACACGTGATTGACTGAAGTCTCTTCCAAGTGACTGGATTGGATTGAGAATCCAGGAGCGGAGCCACCCTTGGACCACCTTAAAGGTTTTTTTTTTTTGATATTAGATATATACTTTTTAAGATAAAATTTACACATATTTATTAGTGCTCACCTTCAATTTTTTTTATATTAAATATATATTTTTTAAAATAAAATTTAGACATATTTAATTGTGCTCACCTTTTTATTGTGATATCGATTAAAATAGATCACTACTTAATTTCAAATAATGTTTATTGAGACTAATATGCTGTGATATTAAATCTAGTAGTGAGTCATTATATTTAGTAACGTCCACTATTCATTCAATGGTCACAAGTCATTGGGTTCCAACAAATTAAATTTTAAATTTTTTTGGGTCAAGATATAAAATTAAATTTTGAATTAGATGCAATTATTATTATCCTTAAATTTTTAAGCACATTTCGGAAATGTCTAAATAATTTTTAGACATATCGCAGTTGTTTTTCTTAAGTATAGAATTATTTTGTTATTGTATAAAAGTGAGCGTCATTACGTAATAAATTACAAGGTAATAAATAAAAGATTGTTATTACCATGTTATATATAGAAAAAAAAGTATTTATTAATATCATTGATTTGTAATTCTTTTAAATGATAAATAATAATTAGATTTAATCGTAAAATGATAATAATTAGTCTCATACAATGTTTTAATTAATTTACTTATATTTTTTGTTTGTTCATTTCATGCAAATCATTTTTTAATGTTTTATGTTATAAGCTTCTGTGGTCAATCAAAAAAAAAAAAATTAAAAATGCTATTTGGATTTAATTTAATGACGTAATTCAATGCACCATTTTAATTGAAAGTAAACTCTACAACTAAAATAAAAGTTACATTGATTAAATCTCTATAACATTGATAAAAAAAAATTAAAACTTATTAATATGTCTACCCTAAAATATTTTTCAGGCTCTGCCCCTGATTGAGGAGGAATGGATTGGATGAAACACGACAATTCTACTATCCAATCTAGGGGTGGCAAATGGGTGGGTTGGGTTGGTTCTAGGTTGGGTTAAATTGGATTGAACTAAAATAAATCAAATCTATTTTTCACTCACCTAGGTAGCGTTTGGTAAATGCTTGTTTTCATTTTTTTTTGTTTTTGTTTTCATTTTATGACCAAAAAAAAATAAAAACATGTTTGGTGAATGTTTTTTTTTTTTTAATTACTCTGTTTTAAAAACAAGCTAAAATATGAAAACATCAAAAAGAAAAAACAAACGCGCAATGGTGAAAGGATTTAATGAGGTCTGGACATTGATCCTCCGTAGCAACAAAATATGAATTTTTTTGCTTGGGTATATAAAAGGCCATCTCTCTCTTTCACCTTTCATATTTATGTTGTCTTTCTATCTCTGACTCTTTGTGTTGAAGACGAAGTCGAAGCCACAGCCACAAGGACGAAGACGAAGGATCCAGACGCCATCTCCCCTACTCTCCGTCTATTGCTTTCGCTCCCTCTCCCTTTCTCTCTCAACCTTCTCTATTTTGGTGGTGGTGATGGATTTTGGGGGAGTGGTGGTGGATTTCGCTAGTGGTGGGGGGTAGGTTGGTGGTGGTGGGGTTGGGCAGTGGTGGGTTTGGGTGGTGGTGGGTTTTCGAGGATGGGGGTGGGCTTGGGTGGTGGGTTTCGGGGATGGGCGTGGGTTGGGTGGTTGTGGGTTTCAGTCGATTAGGGCGGTGCTGGGGCTGGGTGATGCTGAGTTTCATCCGATTGGGGTGTTGTTGGGGCTGGGTTTTGGTGGTGGTGAGTTTCAGGGTGGGGGTGGTGAATTTTAGGGGTTGTTGGGTATTGGAAAGGGGTTGAGGGGTGATTTTTGGTGGTGGTGGGTGTTTGGTGGTGGCTGGTGGTTGGTTGTTGGGTGGTTGGTGGTGGTGTTAAATGGTGAATTTTTGCTATAATACCAAGCATATTTTTTATTTTTGTTTTTATAATTTTTAAATATAAATGATTACCAACACATGTTTTATATTTTTAATTTTATCACAAATAAAAACAAAAACGTTATCAAACACACCTCTAATAAATGAATTATAATGGGTTGAGTTTATAACGGGTTGAGTTAAATCGATTAATCCATAAAATAATTAAAATTCTTAATAGACACGTTAGTACACCAATATACATACACAAACACACTAATACACTCAAACACACACAAACTAATACATTAAAAATATATACATTAATACACTAAAATACACACTAATACACCAAAAATACACACACATATACTAACACAAAAACTAAAACATATTTAATAAAAAAAATACACATATAATAGGTTGGGGTCAATTGTGGGCTATGCGTTAGTTTGTGGGTCGTGGGTTGACCCATGGGTTATGGGTCAACCCATGGATCGTGGGTCATGGATTGACCCATGGATTACGGGTCGACCTGTGGGTCATGGATAATGTATTAGTGTGTGTATATTTTGGTGTATTAGTATATATGTGTGTATTTTTTGGTATAATAGTGAGTATTTTTTGTTATATTAGCATATTTATTTAATTTTATTACTTGTGTTATTTAATAAAAAGATAAATACTTAACTTAATGGGTACCAATTTATAATCTATATTAATCTGCTTAATTAAAATGAATCATATTATCTAATCCATTATTAATTAATATGGTACTCAATCCATTTATTATGAGCAAATTGGACAGATTAATGAGTAATGAGTTAAAATTACCACCTCTAATCCTATGTTATCCAATCTAAAGATTCATTAAGACTAGCTTTGTATAAGAGTATTTTTGGTAGAAGTAACGTTATTGAAATTTAAAAAAATTGTCCTAATTTGCTGATACAACAGTTAATATTGCTATGACGAAACTTTTAAACTCTAGATCACTTGATAAATCATTAGGTTGATAAATTAAATTAATTTATTTGGTCTCAATGACATTACTCTTTTGATCACCAAACCCGACAAGTTGACTAATCAACGGTTTGGATGCACTGTTCGCTCTCCATCACGGACTGTTAACTAGCCGACTGGGTACGCTCGTCCCATTGAGGTTTACCTGTCCCACAGTCCACAGACACGCTTCTCACACGAGAGTTGAATTTTTTAATCTTGATCCTTGTTGAGAAAAATGAGAAGATTGGCCACAGACAAGAACCCTTTTGGTGGTTAAAAACCTAGCCCTGACCAGCAGACACACCGACTTTGACATGCTGTGTCAATGGTGGCTTTGAGAATTTTTCTTTTACAACTAAAGTTGATAGAGAGAGAGAGAGAGTGGATCAATAACGTTGTCTTTAGTGAGAATTCATGTTTTTTTGCAGAACTGTCATAATCATAACGGTCTTTGTTGTTCATTATTATTGAATAAGTTGGAGTTTGGTTGCCCCTGTTTTTTGGCATGTCAAACTCTATTGGTCACTGTCATGTCATAGCTCCTTAATTTTAATTTTTTTTTTTCTAGTCTTAGTCCACTTTAAATTAATGTAAAACGAATGGAGGAGAAGATGACTAAAACGATTTATCCCAAAAAAACAATAAAGATAGATGTGTCAATTTCTTTATAAAAAAACATTTATAAGAAAAATAGCACAATACACGAGAAATAATAAAAATATAGATGTGTTTTGCATGTTTTTGTTTTTTACATGACAATGAATCAACAATTGAGTCAAGTAAACCTAGAGCGCGCGCACACATGTTTCAACACACACACACACACACACACACACACACACACACATATATATATATATATATATATATATATATATATATATATATATATATATATATATATATATATATATTGGTGAGACTCTAGGTGACTCTACGGTAGCTAGATTGACACGTAGAATAATGAAACCGTTGGAATATTCAAAGGGTGCCGAGGAGGTAAGCCGATGTATGGTGACACGGAATAGTTGAGTACGACAGTTGACATCGTATTTAATGCGATATGACCCCTCATTTTTATGGTAGAATGAGTGATAGTGATAAGACAAATAAATGTGCGTCTGCCAGTACCTGTCTTTTGGGAGTCTAAGCCTATTGTCATGATGGCTAAGCATTAATGGCTGATGTGCCGAGACGACGCGATCGGCTCTTCCAAGAAACTGTTTCCCCCGAGTATTCAATGCTCAGTTGATGTCGGATGCCGATCTGGGAGATTTAGGTACTCGGGGAATGACATAAATGCTCGGCATTTGGCTGAGCATTTATCCCATTTTTCTAGCATTCAATAGGAAGAGACGTGAGTAGAAAACACTCATTGCACGAGAAATGGTGTGTTAGATATAAGATGTCCAAATGAGACTGGAGATCTTTGGCAATAATTGTTAATTCAGATATAAATACTTCTCAAAAAAATAGACAAAGGTATGCAAACTTGAATCACAAAAATAGTTCATTAAGCAAAATCCTTCGACCTTATACTGACTTAAGCTTCGGAAGGAATCAGTCAGGCGCTCGCCTGACTCCCTTTTTTCTGACCCTGTTGTTATTCAGGTTCACCAGCTTGAAGATCGCTGTCTCATACTATTGCAGGAATTATCCCGTTCAATTTGACGCAGTCTGTGGGAACGAAGGCATTTTTTCTGGTAGCGATCGTCTGATGGTGAACACTCGATCTCAGGGTGCTTTCAATGGTTTTTGAAGTCGGGTTCATTGGACCAATCAGATGGGGGTGAGGCATTCTTCGCAAAGAACGTTCCCTATAGATTAGGGCCTTGGGGGGTGTGACCTCGTGGCCCATGACATCGTTAAGATGGTGGAAAAGTGGATGGAAGAATAGATTTTGACGAGTCGAAAGAAAAACTAATCCTTCAAGTTTTTCATTTTTTACATTTTCACTCTTTATCAAATTTGATATTTTATCTATTTTACACACTTTTCATCCGGTCTCTTTTTCTTCTTTTCATGTTTTCATAGTACCACACATACAAATTAAAGTATAATGGTGTGTTTGGTAAGATTGATAAAAAAATGGAAAGAAAGAATCTAAAAGTGATACAATTTTATTTTTCAAAGGGAGATGTTTGGTAGAGAAATGGAAAGTAAGAATGATTTTCTTTCCTATTTTTTTTCTTACCAAATATGATATTTTATCTATTAATTATTCAAACTTTTTATCATTTTTATTTTTCTTCCTTTTATTTTTTATCAAACCAAACAAAGCAAAAGTGCAAAGGAGTAGCCTTCTTGGTTTAGGGCCAAAATATGTATTAGGCAAAAGTGCAAAAGTGCGAGGTGGTTGTTTCTTTCCACTTTTGTCGTTATTTCAAGTACTAGAACTCGTGATCCACGCCATAGGGTATGCATTCGGAGATGTGTTTCGTTCCAACACAAAACTTTATGAGGTTTTATATCATTAATGTAAAATTAAGGGTTCTTCGTGTAATTAATGAAGAACAGTTTCATTTACAGAATATATTCTAAATCAGGGGTGCCTATATCATTACTTAAAGATTAAGGATTGTTTATGTAATTAAAGGGCACCGAGACACCAACAACTCCTCGAATATGTATTAGGTAAAATGATAAAACGTGAGAAAGAAAGATTGAAGATCCAACCTGAGGGCATGGATCGACCTAGCATAATGTTCCTAGAGCCTGTTTGTTTAGCAAGATAATGGTAAAAAATACAAGAAAGAGAAAGTTTTAAAAAATTTTATGTGTTTGATTAGTATGAAATGAAAAATGATGAAAAAATAATTTTTTTTCATGTTTATATTTTCTTACAACTAACCATTTTTTTCTTGTAAAAAACACAAAGAAATATAAGAAGGTTGTATCTATAACTAAATTCTTATTTTACCCTTATTTTTCTATATATATATATATGTACACCTAAAGAGTTTTGTGTTGATTCTTGTTCTAGAATTAGGTTATGAGGTATTTTTTTTTTAACAAAAATTTAACTTTTAATATAATTAAGGGTATTTTAGATAATTAAAAAGTTTACTTGTAACTTTTCCTTTTTCAAGCAATAGAATAATTTTTTTTTAAAGAAGTTTCTCCCAAATTTTTTATGCTAACTAAATACATGCATGAATCTATATATGTATTGTACAAAAAAGACATATTCTTCTAAATCATTTTAGTGCATAGAGTTTATTTATGTATAAAATTTACTTATTAGATGGTGTTTAAACATGGTGTTAGAGTATAAAGGTCCTGAGATTGAATCATGTGGAAGGACCATCCAGAGAGGGGCCACACGTGAAATCCTTATGTTATAGTTCTCTTTAATAGTTTAAGTTTTTAGATGAAATAGTGTTCAACAATTTTCTTGATATTTTTTTTTTTTTGAGAAAGAGAGAGAATTAAGAGTAGTCATGTGGAAAACAAGTTTAATGTGAGAATTCTCAACCGTATGCATATCAAATCACTACTATTCAAAATTAAAAAAAAAAAAATTGTTCAGATGAAATTGTTTTTCGACCCCAAACGTGATGGGGTCAGAACAAAGCTGAGCTATTGGTACATTGAAATTTTATGCTGGTATTATGGCCCAGAGTGTACCTCATAAAACCGTGTCTCCGAGATTAGTCAAGTTTGTTTGTAGTTTTTCTCCTTCATACCCTATTATAAAAATTATAAATAGAAAACTTATGTATTGGGTACAATAATTGAAGTTAGTATATAGTTTTACCTTTAGTTACGACCTTCATTAGAATAAAATAAATTAAATGGGCATTAATTGTCTTCATATAACAGCTATTCAAATCAAAGTAATACAAGTTTGAAAATTCTGAGAAAAAAAAAAGTTTGTTTTGCAAGGTGCCTTCAGCCATGAAAGCCAACCCTAGTTAGTCCTTCCACAAGGTGAAGACCATGTCATGAGCCATCTCACCACCCCAATTAAAACCTCTGTTCATAGCTGGTGGAGTAAGAAGCATACCCTCTGCCATGCTGTCAATCAAACCAGGCATGTTAAACAATGCCTCCTCGTCCATGAACAATGCTGTGGATGTTTCCGAACCCTCTTCTGTTCGTCCATGAACACAAGCAGATGCAGAAGGCTCTAGAACCTTCTTCTCAATCTTCACAGTTAATGAGGAAGGTCTATTGACCTCCCTTAAACTTGTGTCCTGTGAAAAGTCAAGTGAAGAAGATGAGGACGAGGAGGGCGAGGCAGCCCGTGGCCGGAAAACTTCAGCAGCGGCTAGAGCTGCCACTTGTATGTCCCTGCGTGAAGTGGACTTAGCTCGGGGAAGAACCTGAGCTGAGTCGGGAAAGTTGAGAGCGGTTCCTTCCCCACGAAATGCTAGGGCAGCCACGTCATGTGCCCTAGCAGCCATTTCTGGTGTAGGAAAGGTCCCTAGCCATATCCTTGACTTCTTGTTTGGTTCGCGTAATTCACACACCCATTTGCTTCCATTTCTCCGCCGTACACCTCGGTAGATGGGGTGGCGCGTCTCCTTGAACTTTTTCCTCCCGGCCTTTCGCTTATGGGAGAGAGTTGGCAGATTGCTTCGTGATGGGGTATTAGGGTTTGTAGCGATAACATTAGAAGAGGACAAAGAAGAAGATGACGTAGTTGAAAATTGGCCCTCCTCAAAATCCATAGAGAGAGAGAGAGAGAGAGAGAGAGAGAGAGAGAGAGAGAGAGAGATGTGCATGGGGCGATATGAAAGTAGTATATATGTAGTGAAGTGAAGTTAAGAAAACAAAGAGAGTTGGGATTGTGTATTCTATTATGCCTTGACGAAGTGGACACTGAGAAAGACACGAAAAACACGTGATAAAACCCACTGAAATATAAGCACGCTGCAAAAAGTTTGGGTTTCTTTTATAGAAACCACGTGTGAAATCAAGGATATATATGCGGGAGAGGACGGTTGTAGGGTCCAAGACATGTGACCTTTTCGTCACAAAAAATGGTCGACAGATCCACGTTGGCAGTTCACTAAGTTTTTTTTATTTATTAATTTTTGAGCAATGTATTAGGACATAATTTAAGTATTTAATGATTATGGTTATTAAATTATCAATGAGTCCTAATATTAAATTATCATTAGATTTTAATATTATCAATTTAATGGTCATAATACATTAAATCCCTAAATTATGTCACAATAGTATTAGTATTAATTTTTACCCGAAAGTGAATGTTAGATTATAGTTGTTGGGTTTAATTAATTAGTCATTTTCAGTAATGTACTTTCAGTTTTTGTCCAATAAAAACGTAATATACATAAATTTTTTATATTTTATTATTTTCCTAATCAATGACAATAAATATATGAAAACATTTATAATATGTAAGGCTGATAATTGAATCAAATTACTTAGGCTTGAGTCGGACATGACTCGACTTGAGCTCGGCTCGTATTCTAAACCAGTTGAGTTTGAACCATTTTTTAAAGAAAAATTTGGATGTCGGTCCCCTTAAATGGACTTGTTTGAAAATAAATCATGTAAGAAAACTTATTTTGTTTTAAATCCACTTTTTGTTGAGTTTACTATTGTACCCTTATTTATTGAAAAACCACAAACGGTGTGTAACTTGATGTTTCAATACTTGACGGAGAAACCCTTCATTGTCAACTAGGAACATCGAAACTTTTCCTTCATTCCGGGCTACAAAATCTGGCTAAATTCCTTAAATCTTTATCATTTTCCTTCTCCAAAAATCATAAACCGTCATTACCTAAACCGAATCAATTCAAATTTTAAACTAGATTCAAACCATAAGAGCGAAAATCAGTTCTACTCTTCAAGTTTCATTGGCAAAGTTACAGTTGGTTATTTGGCATTCAGGACATCTTCACAAAGCTTTGAGATTCTTAAAAAAATTGAGAGGTATGTGATTTTACATGATATTTGATGTTTGTTTTAGGGTTTTAAAACAACATTTACAATCTATATCGTTCATAATGTCAATTTTTTTTTTTGGACAATAAAATTGTGATTCCTTGTTACTATATTAAAGAGTTAGGTATTATGATTTTGTTTTGTTTTGTTTTTGTCTTCATTTTGTATTACATTTGAAATTCATTGGTGTTGTATCTGTGGAATTTCTCATGATATTGTGAGAGCACTTTTCAAAATGTATTATCTTAATGTCGATATCTTGATGTTTTTGATAGGTGTTGAGTGTTCTAAATCAACCATTGACAATATGTTACAATTAGTACATGACAGTAACATCAATTTTTGAATTGTATTTTTATTATAATATTTCGAAATTCGTTGTTACTGTGAACACAATATAACCTTGGGTGTGAAACTGTTCGTGCTACTGTTACTAAATCAATATGTTATATAATTACATGTGAAAATTTTATATTTCTTTTCACGTTGTTCAAGACATTCGAAATTCGTTGGTTCAAAGTTCATGTTACTGTTTGATAACTAAAAAATTGATTTCATAATTTCAATGTATGGATGTGTTTGGGTACTGTAAATGTTACTATGAAATTGATGTTACTGTAAATATGGTACTGATCACAACTTTTTTGGTTTTACTTTTAATGCATATGTTGTTTACGAAGAGTTCAGGGGTTGTTGTTTGATTTTAAATGTAAATTGGGAGAGAATCAATTTTATTCAAGTTATGAAAACTGATGCTACTGAATAACAATTATCAAAATATGACAAGTTTCCTCCAAAAAAGTTCAAGTTACTTTTGAACACTGTTATGTATAATGTAATGTTCATTCTACAAAATTGTAACATGGGGACTCAAAAAAAACTCAATGGAATCAATTGTATAATGAAAAATGAGGTTATTGAATTGTGTTTAGTTGATGTTACTAAAAAGATGTTATTTGGATTCAGTTTATTAATTAATGTTACTATGATCTTGTTACTAAGATAATGTTATTGTATGTTTTTCAGCCATTGATAATTCAAATGTCATGCTATATGTTGATGGAAATAACAGGAAAATCTGCTGCTCCAAAAGCAGCTTCATTTCACCAATTTCGATCTAACTTGCTTCCACTGGTGAAGGTTATTTCTGACCTAAACATCAAAGATGTTCACAGAGAACAACTAAAAAGAACATCATTTTGACATTTGTTTCACACAATATCAACATCTGAAGTGAAAAAAGAATGGTTCAAAAAGAATTACAAGAGTATTGTGGACATAATTACCACGTTTGATATTGAAAATAAAGATTTCGTATTGGTGGAAATGGTTTAAAGATACAGAAGAATGATGTAACCCTCATTTATGGTATAGAAGATAGTGTAGATCCAATTCTTTCCCCCCAAAGTGCAAAAAAAATGTCACAATTTGTGAGAAGGAGATTCAATAACACCAATAGGTTGAATACACCAATAATAAAAAACAGGCTGGAGGATGCAACAATGGGTATTCGTAAAGATGATTGTGAAGATTTTGTTAGGTTGTTCCCTTTATATGTCTTAGTGACACTACTAATTACAAATGTGGGGCAAATGATTGGATGGGGGTATGTGTCGTACATAAAAAATTTGGATGAAATAAAAAAATTTTACTAGTCTCAAGCAACAATTGATGCAATGATGAATTCTATACAGTTGAAAATTGACACACCAAGTGCAGTAACCGATTGTGTACTACTGTTACCTGTATGTTTTTTATTGCTAATTTTTATGAATTGTTTTTTATTACTATTATTAAACTAAATCTAATTTACAGTACTATATATGTAAACACACATCTCTTATTGTGGCCGACAAGGCGAATTGTGACGCCCTTAAAACCGGGGTCCTTTTTCAACCGTTGACCACCCGTCAACCCGCGGAACAACCCGATATCACGTCAATAGCATCCCCTTAACTGGAATTATAACTCACACGTGTAACCCGTGTACATTTTATCATTTAATCAAATCGTGGTCCAATGTGTCACATTTCATATTCTATTATAGTCCATTTACATCATTTAGAAGGAATGACACATGGCCCAAATGCATGACAAAACAGTTTTAAAATTTCAAAATTTTGGAAGTCCAACGGGTATGGCATACAGGTAGGGTGAGCTTACTGGAAAAATCTCTACTAGTAGGTATACTGGAAAATTCTTGCTAGTAGGGTGTACCGGTAGGGTTTGCCCACTAGACAAAGTTGTACTGGTATGCTTTGTCCAATTTTACCCGTTTCACCTGTTTTTCATTTTCAATTCATTTCAAACCATATTACATCCATCCAACACATGTATAATAAAGATTTTCATTTAATACAACGTTCATACACATTCTATTACATTCATTTCCATAAATTTACATATCAAAACTAAGTTTTCATAATATTTGTACAAAAACTCAAAATAGAGCCACATTTCGGCTTTCTTCATACTTGAGGCCCCGAGTGAGAGTATTCCGCCAACGTACCACCGGCACCTGAAATATTTTTTTCATAAAGGGTGAGCCAAGCTCAGTGGAGTATTTTCTACAGAGGCTACTCCCCAACCTAGATGCTTATGAAATGCTCACACGCAACACATAAACAAGCAACAATCATTCCAACCAAGATTTAGCAAGTCTAAGTTGGAATCTAATATATCATGCCATGATATGAGGTGATACTCACTCATGCATCTCAACTTGTGCTCTCCTTGACTCTTTTTCCCCCATGCAATGCCATGAGTATAAAAATCGGCTTTTCAAGCCCCATCATTGGCATTACACACTCAATGACTATTTAAAAATCTCCAGGTTTTTCTTAGGGTTGGTATTTATGGACTTACACCAACGGCACCCAACCAGCACCGAATTCATGGACTTACACCAACGGTTCCGCGTACACGGACACAATTTATGAGCTCTTATACCAACGGAGTGCGTATCTAATCACCGGGCCTCTCACTCGAGGGATTGTCTAGCTCTTCTTGCTAACCCCGACCCAATTTTTCATGCAGCCGTGCGACTCAGTCGAATTTTAAATCCAACTTTTCTGAGCCCACCCATCAACCACTAGTTATGGTGCTTGATCAAACTATGCACACACCCATATCCACACTCATGCCTCGTGCCCATGGATGCGATGCCTTCGTGCAAATGCAATGTAATGCACCATTGTCATATCAATATCATGTCCCATATGTAATGAATGTCATATGAGCAAATTTTACCACATTTATACATATTCTAGGGAAATTCATATCCAAAGCATAAATTACCAATTCCATCACAATGTCGATATATCTATAAGCATACATCAGCATTTTCATATCCAACAATACATCACAAGTATGCTATTACATAATATATGTCAATAACACACTTTATTTACAAAGGCATAATATAAACACATAGCATGCCCACATAACACCAATTTTCATGAAATTACACAAGTAATTACCACATACTAATTTCATGCTAGTAATTTATTTTAAACAATTTCTATACCCTTTTCTATTAATTTCACAAATATAGGTAAGTGATATATATTTCTTTCAACCTACCCATTTCAATTTCACAAACATAGGTAAGTGAATATATATATCTACCTACCTACCCATTTCATCAATTTCACAAAAAAAGACAAGTGATATATATCTCTATCAACATACCCATTTCAATTTCATACCTTAGGTTGTAAAATAAACCCAAGTAGGAAGGAACACTACCTCT